TAACTAGAACCGCGTCCGCGGACACTGTACGGTATGCAGAAGCAATGCGTAGTGCCCCTCTGCGCTGTACCGAAGACATTTGAATCCGGTATTTTTTGACTTTCAATGCGTCAGCCCATATATCTGCCCCGTACAGGAGCACCGATTGGACCGCTGTCATCAGAAGCTTCCTGCGGCATGGCTTCGGGCCGCCCACGTTCGCCATCAGCCGGCTTAGAGTCGCCGTGCTCTGCGCAGCTTTTTCACATACTCCATGGATGTGTTCCCAGAATGTGAGTTTGCTGTCAAGCTTCACCCCTAGGTATTTTGTAGACCTAGAAGTCGTCACGAGTTGAGGTCCGACCATTATATTTATAATTGTTGGAATCCGTTTCCTGGTGAGGAGCACGATCTCCGTTTTGGCTGTAGCCAATTGCAGACCGTGATCGCTCATCCATCCACTGACGTTGCGCATGACCTGGTTTAGCTTGAGCTGTGCTAGCTGGACATTTCTTGCTGTTATGACGGCTGCCACGTCGTCCGCGAAGGTGACAAGGAAGGCGCTCTCCGGCATTTCCGTGCACAACAGACTGTCATACGTGGCGTTCCAGAGGTCCGGGCCAAGTACAGACCCCTGTGCCGCTCCGCCGGTTATACGTCTCTTTCTCTGACCTTGTGTTGTGTCGTACAAAAGCCAACGGTCTCTGAGGTAGTCCCGGATCATATCTAGCAAGTATGTTGGAACCTTGAATGACCGTTCCCAGGCCTCCAGCATATCGTCCCATCTTGCCGAGTTGAAAGCGTTCTTGACGTCCAGTGTGACTAGCAGCACTATTAGCCGCGCCTGGTGGCAGGCTTCTTCGGCCTTATGTACCGCCTCGACTACTTCGCCAATTGCTCCTATAGTTGAGTGTCCCTTCCTGAAGCCATGTTGTCGGGGTGAAAGTCCTCCCTCGCTTTCTATGGCTGACGTCAAGCGTATTTTGAGCAGACTCTCCATCATTTTGCCTGCTGTGTCTAGCATGCAGAGTGGCCGGAAGGATGAAGGAGAGTTTGGGTCCCCTTTGCCCTTGGGTATAAGCACCAGTCTCGCCTTCTTCCATTGGCTTGGGAAAACCCGGGCCCTAAGGCAGCTGTTGTACATGTTAAGCGGAAGATCAGGGCTCGTTTCCGCTGCTAACCTGATTGCCTCCGCTGGTATGCCATCTGGGCCTGGAGCCTTGCCGGCTTTCATGCTTCGCAGGGCTTGCTTCAG